TCATATTTCTGGTCCTGGGATGCCCCCTGGGTATTAAAAGGAAGGTTAAGGCGCAGCAAAGGGCAAAAACACATGGGAAACCCCTCCCAGAATTCTCCTATGCGTGCTATGAGTAATGTGTGTGTGGGGGGCAGACCAAAGTAGGAAGAGGGAAAACTTTGAACAGTTTCTGGGTAGGTATTTTTGGTTATTCCAGGTTTTTAATTTTCATTCGCTGCTCATTCTTCACTAACAGGGCTAATAACGGCCTCTGCTTGATATATTGCAATTTGGTGTTTGAAGTTACAGCTTTATTATTAAGCCCTAAACTAAGTCCTAGTAAACTGCCTTCGTTTATAAGGTATATATACCTACTTTACTCCAGAAGGAGGGAGACAGGGAAATTGATTACCTTTAAGGTTCTTTCAGAGTAGTTCAAATGGCCCTAGGAAATTGAGTTGAACTATATGCTTTTCAGATGTTATTCTTCATACATTAATACAACAGCAGCTAACAAACATATGTGATTGAAATGTGCCCACAAAAGAACAAAATACATTTCTTGTACCTGTTAGATCCATCTACTTCACTTAGCCTATTATACAACTCTCAAACCAGTGCAATTATATATAAATATATATAGACACACACATACAGATATGTATTATATATAAAGACCTTTCTTCTTAAGTTTTTTCAAACCACATACACATATATACGTATATTTATATGAATTAAATATAATGACCTTTCCTCTTAACTTTCTTGGAACTGCACACAATTGTTCATATAATATATAACATTAAAATGCATGTGCATATATGCACATTAAATATATTTCAATTATATATATAAAGACATTCCCTCTAAAGTCCCTTAAAATTACCCACACCAACATATTATTTACATATATTATATAACATATCTGTGTGTGTATATATATATATATGTATACACATCTCATTCCCCTTAAGATTCTTAACATCTTAACTATTTGAGGTATTTAACAAGATCCTGTGCGTTTTACTATGTGAATTTACTCTGATATTGCAGCGTGTTTGGTGTTTACTGCAACTTGGCGAGACACCACATCCTTACTGAACTGCTCCAAGAGAGTAGGTGGTGAGAACTTGAGAGTCACGGGGGACCCGACACCTAACACTAGTAGTCTGGTATCTCCAAAGTCTGTTTGGGGGAGATGCTACAGTCTTTCTAAAGAGGGTACGAAATGGTCTCCATTGAGTAATTTTGTCAAATATTGGGTTTTAAAAAAATGAGAAGACCATCGTCGACCTCAGGAACGGGAGTGTTTCGGGCGGAAGTGGCTGTGGACTGAGGAGGGACAGGCTTTCCAGGCTGATGTGATCAGGCAAAGCTGAGGAGGTGGCTATGCCACCAGCCTTCTGTTCCTGGAGGTCTGCCTGCTCCGGCACACAGGAGGTGAGCACAGGCAAAACAAAGGAGCAAATTTGCAAGTCGAGAATTGACTGCTTGGACCATGTGGTTGCTGCCACACTCTGAACCGAAATCAGAATTGCCAGAGGGAAAAAAAAAAAGTTTCTTTTTGTTTATATTTTGAAGGTTCCTATTTCCTCATAGTGTTTTGCTGGTGGTTTCTAGAACACCTTTTCCTATATTTGTACAATCATTTTTATATTGGATTTTCATATTAAGTATCTGTTCAGGTTAGGGTTTTGACTATGTACTCATAAGACATTTTTAAAACACATAGGGAAATACAATAATAGGTTTTGCTTTTTGGCTCTAAGGAAGTAAGACCACCTTTCTACCCTGTTCCTTTTAAGGTGCATTACCGGAAGGGGGGGGCAAGGTAAGAAAAACAGTTGCATTGCCTAACTTGTAAGAGGTGCTGAGAGAATGAAATAAGAGACAGTTTATATTAATAAAGTAGTGAGTCCACCCTCATGGTCTGAGGGCTGGTGGCTGTTACCACAGCTGACATGAAACGAAGACCCAATTTTAACTACCAACAACCAATCATTCTTTAAACTTGGACTCTCAGCACATGCCCTTCATAAATACTTCTGAAAACCTACCAGTGCACTGTGTAATTCATGTAAGATGCAAGGCGAGATGAAAGCCTTTCAGGGGAGCAAGTGGTCTAATCCGAAGCAGCCGTCATGCGAGGCGCGCATGAGAGACGGCGCTCGGTGCGGCGAGGCCACGCTGGGGTTCTGTCCAGTGGCAGGGCCAGTGGGCACCCCGCCTTGTGAACCTGGGGAAGGAGGCAGCAAACGGCCCCAGACACAACACCCCCAGTCACATCCACTGCAGGCGGGCACAGCTACCCCAACAGGTCCTGGAGGGAGGGGCCATGCCAGTGGCAAATCAGGAAGGAAAGAAGAAAGGAAGACAGAGAGGGAGGGAAGAAAAAAGGAAAGGAGTTGAGGAGGACAGGAAGGAAGGAAGGCAGGAAAAGAGAGAAGGAAGAAAGGAAGGGAGGGAAGGAGCAAGCCAGGAAAGGACTGTGTGGGGCCAGGAGCCCCAAACCCTGCTACAGTGCGGAGACAAGCGGCACCCCTATCAGTGGGACGTGATGAACCAGAGCCCCATCTCACGTGTCCACGGTGACACCTAGTCAGCGAGGATCCTAGGGCCAGAGCTGAAATTCTAAAGTGTGGAAATTCTAATGCTCCAGATCTCTGGTGCGTTTTTGCCCCCTCCACTTACACAGTTTTAGAATAGCGCATACCTATCTATAGGTACGTCCTAACTTTACAGATGTGACAAAACCTGTGGGGCTTTTCATCATCAGTGAAGGCTGTAAATCTGATGCCAGAAGTTCCACTTTCTTGTCACTAACTCAAACCTGCATTTTATTATTTTTTGTAGGTGTTTCTTTAAGCTGTCCATCTTGTTCATTTTGGGAGGGTTGGTTTAAAAATTAAATGATGTACACTGTAAATACACTTTACCCTAGTCTGCACATTGCATCATACTGAAATCAGATAAATCACGGAGGGCAATAGTGTCTCCCCTTGACACCCTGCACAAGGATACCGGGAGAAGTGACCAGAACACAAGACCATTCACGAGCATCCACACACATATCATATGCTAGTCAAGCTTAACATATTTCCTACTTCTTTACGTTAAAAGAATAAGTAGAGGTCCTCACGTACCCCCACCTCACAGTGAAGTATTTGGTATGCCCAGGGGGCAGGGAGTGATGGCCTAGGACATGTTGGGACCTGGTTGAAAGGCAGATGCTGAGTCAGACAGTCTGGGTAGGGGGTGCCAGGGAGTCTGCATTTCTAGTGATCCCCTGGGAGCTGCTGTTGCTGCTGGTCTGGGCCCTCCTCTGCTGTTCAGCACTGCAGAGCAGCAAACCTGACCTTCCCTTCAGAGCCAGATTGCACCCTGAGGTTCAACAGGGTCAAGAACAACACCCCTTCCCACCAAAGTACCAGATACATCTTAGAGTATAAAGCCAGGGATAGCGATTCAGTCACCTCCCTCCACCAGGCTCCCTTCCGGAATCTACGGGGCTTGGGGGAAACTGGTGGTAGGAGGCGAGAAAATTTTCAACACATCCCCTGAAAGAGGCTCCCTGGGTCTCTGTTACCAGCAAGTTACCTGGGGGAAGAAGAAAGGGAAATCTGTAGTGAGGGGCTGAAGTGGAGGCCCCCCTTAGATAGAAGCCAGAGCTTTCTGGTTTCTCAGCACCATCAAGGAATGTGGCCATGGACAGCCTCTAAGAAAGATGGTCCCTGGTCCAACCTGTCACCATTAATTGGGGGGAAGGGGGAAAGGGGAGGATCTGTACCCCACAGATGTAAAGAGAAGAATGGAGCAGACTATGGTCATTGGAAACAGATATATGGTCATTGGAAACAGACCACAAATGGCAGCATTTGAGTCACAATCCCCTTCCTAATTTGCTCATGAATTGCCTTCCCTGAAATCTAGTGTTCTCAAAGTGAAATCGTGATTGTACTAAATGGGGGGAAATCTCTTACAGCACCAGCGCTAAAAATACATAATTTTATTGACTATATACTATGCACTGGTACTAAGAGCTTCACCTGCCTTGCCTCCTTTGACATGTCCATTTTGCCCATGGGGAAAGCGACCCGCGGAGGCTCATTGCCTATCACAGATGATAAGACCCTTTCTGAATCCATGTGTGCCGCATCCACCATAGGTGCACTAAACCAGAAATACACACTCACGTTTTAAAGTCTTTGGAACTTTCTCCTCTGTGCTTCTCAAAAGGTCTTACCTTCGTCATTAAGCGTGTATAACACTAAACGAACACGAGATAGAAACAGGCACAAACAGGTATTTTTCTAAGAATGGAAAAAAAAATGATCTTCTGGTTGCATTCAAACAAAATTGGAAAAGGAATAAAACTCAAGAGCAGTCAAAAGGTAAATGAGACCTAAGAAGGCAAAAATCGCAAGACGTTTTTAAAAATGACTATAATTTCAGCATCCTCCATGCATACTCATCCTAAGGGCCAATGCACCAGCCCCGGATGCTCAAAGATGCGGGTGGCGCACCCTGCCCGCGCCAGTGCGCATGCGCCGCGAGGCTGCCGTCCTGGGCCCGCGTCCTGGTCCAGGACAGCAGAGAGGCGGGCGGGCGAAACCGAAAGGGAACCCCGCCTGGTGTCCGGGGGCTGGCGGTTCGGGCTCGGAGAAACCCACCGGGCAACCCCGTGACCAAAGCCATTTGGCTGCAACCTGGCGGCCCGCAGTGATGACCCCCTGAGCATCCTCAAGCCGTCCTCCCCACCCCGCAGCCTGTCACACGGTCCCTCCTTCCACATTCCCGCCCTTTATCTAACTCCGAGCCATGAATTTGACCCCAGACTAGGCGCTCAGTTTTGCGCGGCCCCTGGCTGAGCGGCCTAGCCCGTTTCAGGTGTGAAGCGAGGGGTGTGGTGGTGGACGCGGGCAAACGTGTCGCGCCCGCCCGCACCGCAGCCCCGCTCGACTTGGGCGGCCAAGGCCGGAAGCGCGCGTGCGCGGGGCGGGCGGCTGCGCGCGCACCTCTGCTTGGCTTCCCCCACTCCCTAGAGTAGACCGAGAAGGCGGCACCATGGCTGCGCCCCCGCCCGCGCCCCCGCCGCGCCCCGTCACCCACCTCATCTTTGACATGGACGGCCTTCTTCTGGGTGGGTAGTCTGCGGTCGCCTCCCGTGAGCGCTGTCCCCGGGCGGGCGTGGGGTCGGCGTCGGGGCGGGTCCTTCAGGGCCGCGGGGTCGCGGCGGGGCCGTGTCCCGGCGAGGACCTTCCGGCTCCCGCGCGCTCTGTCCCAGCCCGACCCCGAAGCCGGGCGGCCGCCGGCGCCCGCGGGCCCATGTCTGGGCTGACCGGCGCGCGTGGGTGCGGCGTGTACGCGCCCCCGCGCCCGCTTCCGGTGGGCCGGCCGCGCGTGGGGCCGGAGCACGTGAGGCGCGGTGCCCCGGGGACCACCGAGCGGGCGCACCGCGCCGGTCCTCCGCGCCCTCCTTCCGGTTTCCCACCCGCGCGGCCCCGCCTCAGCGTTCCCATCTGCGGAATCGCTTCCCGGGGACCTGCCTGCCGGCTCCGCGCTCGCTGTCGTGGGCGCACCTGGATCGTAGCATCCTACATGCCCGTGTTTCTCAACCCGGCGATTTCGCGGGTCCCCCCCCCCCCGCCCAGCGCGCTTGGCAACATTTTGTGTGGCACAGCTGGAATGACGGGGTGAAAAGGTCACTGGTGTTTAGTGGGGGCCAGGCCAGGGGTTCTGCGAAACCTTCTGCAGTGCACAGGACCTCCCCGTGCCACCACAAGGAATTTTCCCGTCCCAACTGTCAGTAGTGTGGAGGTGCAGAAGCCCTGCCAAGTTTCCTGGCCTCTCAGAGTGACCCGACACTGTGGGCCTCACCTGGGTGCACAAGCTGGGACCACCCCCCCACCCGTACTTGCCCCATCAAAACCTGTATTTTAACAACACAAATGCGTGAAAGTTTGAAAAGCACTGCTCTAATTTAGGATCTGAGGCATTAACAAGTCCTTGGCAGTGGACTAAATAAGTCAGATAGTCAATTCTACTAGGCACGAACTTCACCAACAGTCTGATAGTCAGTCCTAGCAGACATGAACTTCACCAGCCAAGAGGAATTCAAGTAGAATTCAAAGGACATTCGGTTTATAACTCAGTAAAGGACTATGCTGAACTCTACCCAAAACCACAACAGAATTATCATTATGAAAAATATGTTCTAACCTGGTACCCACCAGAAGTCTTCATAGATCTGTCAGCATGTCTGCATGCTTGATGTGGACTGCTGGCCTGCTGGTTTACATCTATTGCTTCATTTCAAAACCTGGCAAGGTAGGAGGAAGTATTTGCATTTGACTAGTAAAAAGGAAAAAAAAACAAATCTTGCAGCCCAGAGAGGTAAAGCTAATTGCCCAAGGTCACACAGCCAAGAAATAATTGTGCATCGATATAGTTCTAAATATAAGACATTGAGCTCATCTTAAACTGTGCATATGATTGCTCCTGTTTGTCATTTCACTGGGTGGTTCGGTAGCATGATTTTTTAAAAGGCCCCAAAAACAGTCTATTATATGGGCAGACAGCTATAAACTGGTAAATTCCAAAGGGGAAAAAAAAATCCCCACAGAGGTCACTAATTGGAGCAAACAGTGTATACAGCTACTAAATTTGAAATGATTCAATTTCAGAAAGCTGCTGGGATTCATAAGTATAGTCTGTAGATATGAATTTTCCTACTCAGGTGGTCAAGAAGTTAAATTGTCAAATAAATTCCTTACTCTCCAATGAAAGGTCCAGAGAACCTGTTCTGGGAGTCTCATGAATTTTAATACCAAACAAGATGTCTCATTAAAATTAAACATACTAAACTTCTAAATGAGCTTGATGCCTAATTCTGATTCTAGAGTCACATATACCCATGCCCCGAAGTGATGAATGTTACTTAAATGGCAATACAAGCATTGACCTGACACTGTTACCCAATCTTCCGATAGCCCAAGAAGTAATGCTGTTTGGAAAGATAAACTCTAGTTCTGTTTCTCCCCTTCATTTTCTGCCCTTTTCCTCCTTTGCTGCCCTAATTCTCCTTTGAAGTTGTAGGCTTTGCAGAAGTCCCTCAGAAATTCGTCTTTGCTTCCTCTGTTCTTTCGCAGAATGTCTTATATAAAACACAGCTTCCCAGAACATACCACTGTATCTCATTTAATCTACTAAGTTATGTCTGCTCTAATTCTTTGGCACCTCACTTCAGTATATCTGTTGTTTACATAACAAAATATCATCAATTTATAGTGAGTTCTTTTGCAGTAGATCTGTTTTTCAGAATTTTGAAAGCATTTCCCCAGTAAGTTCCGTTTGTCAATGATGTATCCCCAGTACTTGAGTTCTCAAGGAAGAAGTAAAATAGAAACCAAGTAGTTTCATGGAGAATTCTTACATTACAGGGGAAGCTTGTTTAATCAGAGGAGAATGAGGAAGTACATGAAGATTTTAGAGGAAATGTTGCCAAGAAAGAAAGGTCACTTTCTTATGTGTTTGAAATACATGGTGCTGTTGGTTGTCCTTTCCAACAAAAACACTTTTGGATTCTGTTTTTCTTGACACAACGATTAATCAGTTGTGATTTAAGTAGTAATGTTTTGCTTTCAAATGCCATTCAAAGAGGAAACTGTGACAAGATTTCAAGGAAGAAGGAAGATGACAAGTATTAACAGTATCTCAGTACCTGTGTAGGGGAGATTATGTGGTTTGCAAATAACTGAAATTAGGAACCCAAAAGATGGGCCAAATTTCTTTAGAAAGAGAAGGAAGTTTGTTGTTCATAGCAGCTGTCTCATAGAAATAGAATTGAACCAGCTAACATATTCTGGGAGCAACTTTCAAAAAGCAAAAAGATCGAGATGGAACTGACTTGGATGATATGTTTTATGTAACCTAATGCATCCAAAGTATTATTATTCAACACATAGTCAATATAAGAAAATCACTGATATAGTTAGCATTCACTTTTGATACTAGGTCCTCAAAGTATGTGTGTATTTTATACTCACTCTGAGCTAGTCTCATTCTAAGTGTGCAATAGCCACGTTTTGCGAGTGACTACCAGCTTGGACAATGCAGGTCTAGATTTTTGTAGCGCAGCCCATGATGTCTGCTGTTGATAATGGTGGTAGGAAGGCTAGGCAGAGGGAGGGTGTTAAGTATATTCATAATTTGGAATTTTTGGTATATGTAAGATGTACTGTATGTAAAGTATATTTTCCAGGAGTCTGATACAGTAATTTAAAATCCTTAAAAAAAATCAAAGAATAAGCTGATTTTCAAATTCTTAAAAAGTCAGAAAATAATAAGGTACATCTGTGAGGGGCGGCAAGAATATTTGCAGTATTGACCATAATATGCCATGTCTCCATAAACATGCACAGATTGTAGGATTTTAATGAGTGACTGGGAATCCTACTCCACCTTCATATAGTAGAGTGAAGACCTGTTCTGTACCTTTTCTCACTCCCATAGCTCCCTCCTTGCCAAATAATAATACTTGAGGCCGTTTAGAAGTGCCTGCTTCCCTGTCTAGGGCCATGAGAGCCCAGAAGGTCCTGGAGGCAGGTGTCTAGTGTTCACCAAGCCTAGCACCGAGGGGATCGGGGGCTCCTGAGCCAGGTGGCAATCCTGTCCAGTGTGTGGTCGGAAGCCCAGAGACAGTGTTTTGTTCACTTTCACCTAGGCTATTTCTTTAGACACTGGAACGTCATTAAGCTGATAACAAAAATAGATTTTCCTTATATTAGTGCATACCCTAGGTAAATACTCAGAAGAACCTATCACAGTGTCAGTTGACCCTATGTAATACATCTGAGATTAAAAGTGGAGGTGATAAGATTTTCAGTGGCAGTTGGTTCTTATCATTTAATGTGACCGAGTCATTCATTCCAAGTAAGGTTTCCATGACTTTTGACACCTTTCTCAGGAAGGTAGAGCAAAATTAAGGATCATTCCGTATGCCTCCATATGTGCTTATTGTCTAGCCTCAGAACTTGGAGAGATTCCAGTTGGAATGGGATGATAATTGTGTGCTGTTCATTTTGTAGATAACCTCTGGCCTTCTGTCTTATGTATTGGGTCTGGTTCCGGATATCAGCAACTCTGTGATGATAGGTTCACGTTCTGTCTTTGCCCTAGCTCCCCTGGGAGCTAACAGTGCACCCTTGGGTTTTATTTCATCTTGCTAGGTGAAATTTAAATTCTCATCCACGTTTGCAAAGGAGAAAGCTGAAATTTGGAGGCCAGTCTGATGACAGAAGTGAGCTCACATGTAAGGGGCTATAACTGGCCTCATTATAGTGTTATCAATGAGTAATCTGTTATTCCTGGGAACTGGAAAGGTTTCTGAAATGTAACAAGCACAGAACACCTGTGTTCATGTTAAGGGTCCAGAATTGGAGTAAGATGCTTTATTATATGCTAGAGAAAAAGCATCAGATTGTCGACTCAGCTACCTTTGGTTGTGTTTTCTAATTAGACCTGAACCATGCCAGCCTTAAGTTTCTTCTTATATTTAGTGATTGGGTTTCCACTGCAGGTATTCCTGTTTCTAGAATAATTGAGAAGGGGGTAAGATTTAAATTGCAAAATTCTGTAGATAAATGAGAGTTTTGTCTAGCTGACAATGTAACTAAAATAGGTAGCAGATTTCTGGGTGTGCAGGTATAAAGTGTCCATTCCTTACTTTTTCCTAGCTTCCTCTCCCTCACAGTGTGGTTTTATTTGGAAAACCACACAACTGCACAAACTGCACAGCTGCACAAACTGGACGCAGGCATACCTTGGAGATATTGCGGGTTCAGTTTCAGGCCGTTGCAGTAAAGTGAATATCCCAGTAAAGGCAGTCTGTGAATTTTTTGGTTTTTCAGCGCATGTGAAAGTTATGTTTACACTCTACTGTAGCCTATTAAGTTTGCAGTAGCATTAAGTCTACAAAACCAATGAACATACCTTAAAATACTCCATTGCTAAAAAGTGCTAATTATCATCTGAGGCAACAACAAGTCATACTCTCTTTGCTGGTGGAGGGTCTTACCTTGATCTTGATGGTTGCAGACTGATCAGGGTTGTGGTTGCTGAAGGTTGGGGTGTCTGTGGCAATTTCTTAAAATAGCACAATGAATTCAGCCACATCAGTATACCCTTCCTTTTACGGAAAAATTTTCTGTAGCACATTAATAATGCTATTTGATAGCATTTGATCCACAGCAGAACTTCTTTCAAAACTGGAGTCAGTCTTCTCAACCTCTGCTGTTGTTTTATCAA